TAAGAACTAAAGAAGCCATAATAAGACATATAACATATATATGGTTACAATCAGAACAATAAACAAAACAAACTATAAGAGAGAAAAAGCTAATATCTTCTATACTTATTTTCTATTTTTATTTTTTAAGACTTATTTATATAATAATCTCTTATTATTTTTTATTTCATTTTGTATAATTGGTTTTTCTCTCATCTATCGCCAGCTAGGCTTGCTGAACTCTATAAAGTCTAAATTCTTTTGGAATTTTTAATAAATATCCACAAGGAGTTTGTAACATTATCATATAATTATTTTGTTTATAATATTGAAACTGTTGTATAAAATTATTTCCTAATAATATATCACATTCTAGTTTATCATAACTATATATTTTGTTTACTCCCAAGTATTATACTAATTTTATTAGCATTATTAATGATTTGGGTACTTTCTCCTGTTACCCCTATTATTTTTATCTTACTATTATTATTCCATGATCATATTAAGAAACTTTTGAATATTGTTATATCACTTCGTGTATCAACTAATATACAAGTTGTTATATTTGTTTCTATAATAGTAACTTGTATATAAACAGCTAATGAAAAACTTATTTGATTATTCATTCATCTCTTTTCACATAATATGGTTTGGCCATTATAGGTTATATATAATCATTCTCTTTTTATACTATAGTCTTCTAATTCATTCAGAAAACTCATTCCTAATAATATATGAGGATTTATGTCCATACTATTATCTATATAACAGGGTACTAAAAGATCAATTCCTCCTATTTTTATTGGTACTTTAACTTCTAATTCTGTGGTATGTACTTGTCCGTCAAAATTTACATATCTATATGATTTAGTTTTATGAGTTATTAATCATTTATTTCTTATTGAAGATATATGTCATCCACTAGCTCATGTATATATTAATATATTTAATCCCCTTTCATGTTCTATTCCATTAAAAGACTCTCATTCTATCCTCATATTTCCAGCATTTCTATGAAGTTTTATTTCTCTTGTATTACTAATTTCTTCTAATTGTTTTTTCTACGGGTATTTAAAATCGTTTCAAGGCACACAGTTGGCATTGGAAACATGCAAAACCATCACATCACAGGCGCTAATATCAACACGAACTCGCCTCTGCTTCAAAAAAGAAATCAGCATCGGCCAGTTCCAATAAGAACTCGCCTCTACTTCAAAAGAAAATTAGCCTCGGCCAGTTCCAATACGAACTCGCCTCTGCTTCAAAAAGGAAATCAGCCTCGGCCAGTTCCAATACGAACTCGCCTCTGCTCCAAAAGGAAATTAGCCTCGGCCGTTCCAATACGAACTTATCTCTGCTCCAAAAGGAAATCAGCATCGGCCAGTTCCAATACGAACTCGCCTCTCCTCCAAAAGGAAATCAGCCTCGGCCAGTTCCAATACGAGCTCTCCTATGCACCAAAAGGACCTCGGCTAGTTCCAATTCGAACTCGCCTCTGCTCAAAGGACATCAGCTTTAAAGGCAATCTCGTTAACTTTGTGCGTTAAATAACTTCTTGAAAGTCCACGCATGTCATAAATAATCACACATGGACTTGGAGGACTATTGTTACGACTTATAAATAAAATCACCACGTGGCGTCATGTTTGAATGGTGGGACCAGCACAATTAGATCAGGATATGTTTTCTTGGCGTCGACGTGTCAACTGAGGCTCTGAGTCATACCGAGGCCCATTATATGAGCCTTTCGTTGTTAGCCGAGGCCTAGGGCACATCCACTCACTATCCGAGGCTTTTTAGCAGTTAGCGATGGCACACATGTGGAGATTTGCTTATGATGAAGATTGTTAATTTGAATGATTGATGTGACTTTTGTGTAAAGTTTATGTGTGTCTTGTCTTGTCACTGTAAGTGATTGATGTGACTTTTGTGTAAGGTCTATTTGTGTCTTGTCTTATCAATGTAAGAACATCTAATGTCTTGTAAGGTTATGAGAGTCAACTTGATGGCTAGGACTTGATGTCTTGGCCGAGGAAATGGTGCTACGTGTAAAATTGATCCAAAGGTCATTATTTCATTTGTAACACTATAAATACCCCCACCATATAACACGAAAAAGTTAATGAAAATCTAATACTTGGAGCAATATTATTCTCTCGACTTTCTTGTTTATCAGCACAAATTGATTGCAAATCTTGTTTTTTATCGATTGGTTTCTTATACAATCGTGTTTTAGATATTTCGTCGGAGGCCTGAACGGAAACGTCTCGTGTCTTTGAGCTCCTCGCACGTTCAGATTTTGGAGACATTCTGACCATTGATCGGCACTAACGTGTTGGATTTGACTTATGTGTACACGAGTGGACCCAACATCTGGCAACATGTTTTGGGGTCAACAGGTTGTATTCGTGTGTTTTGTGAAATGAAAGTCACAAAATCAATAACAAATGAAAGAATGAATTTGCCAACCCCACCAGTCAAGCAAAAGCCAAAACAGTTTTTCAGTTAGCAAGGAATAAAAAATTAAAAAGAATAAAAGACTAACGTTGAACAGAGTACAGAGAAGAAGCCGAGATTTTTTTTCATTCAAGAAATCACTTCGCAGAGAGAAGAGAGAGTATGACACAATCCAAAAACAAAATCTTAATCGACAATTAAAGAGAAAAATGAGAAGAATTCAACGAAGGACAGAGGAGGAAGGGGGAAGAAAACAAGAAAGTGAGGCTACGAATTTGCACATTAAAGGCCAAATATTGGAGAAAAAACTTGTGGCGAAGTTGGTGGTGGTTGTGGGTTTAGTGGCGGTCGGTGGCATTTCTGGTATTAGTGTCAATGGAGATTCTATCTTCTGGTCTCATTTGATGGAGACGGTAAAGGGCAGGAATGGGGGGTGGGAGAGGGGAAAAGAAGAAGATGATTGTTTTTTCTTTTTAGACTTTTTAATTTAATATATTTAGGATTTATTTGTAGCTTTTTGAAAAAAATTGATAGTATAATTGCAATTTGTTTTTTATTTTTCTTTCCCTTTCTTTTTGTTTTATTTTAAAAGGAGGGTATATTTGTCATTTAACAAATTTTAATTGAGAAATGGAATAAAATTCGATGAAAATGACGTTTTCCACAATGAAACGTGAAAATAGAGGGCGAAAATGCAAAAATTTTAAACGTATGAATGTTTTGCACACTAAAGGCCAAACATAGGAATGTTTTGTGCTAATAAGTCTTTCAGTAATTGATCCAGAATAAACTCCCAAGTGCAGTGGAGGAATATGCTTTGACCATTTCATTATCTTTTCTTCACATTATTTTTTACATGTGACTGAATTCTGAATTTAAAGGATCTGAAGAGAACAATGTACTGGGTCACACCTCAAAAAGACATTAATTTACAGAACCCATCACAAAAAATATACGACAATTTACATCCTTATCCACATTGATGTTCAGTCGACAAAAAGTTTTAATAATGGCACCTAAAAGAAGTTCTACTGAATTCATTATTCTGCCCGTGCGCGTTTGACAAGGTGGCTGCTGGGCTAGATCTAAGACTCTCTGCATTTCTCTTCCAACCGTGGGGGTATGCATGAACCGAATTTACCGCTCTTCAAACTCAGAAGCCATGTCAACCTGAGAATGAACAAAGTCAGGGTCATCCTCATTCTGTCAATAAAATGAAAACAATGAAATTGTTTACCTCTGGTTTATAAATCACATATAATTACTAGCAATTTTTATATAATATCACACAAACTTGGGTTGGAAACAGTATAGTATGATTTGAGGTAAATGTGATTTGAGGTAAAAGTCACATGCAAGAGTTACTTTCTATGCAAATATACATTTGGATTTTGCACAATAACAAGGTTGTATACACGATCCATTTTATACCATTACTCTCTATCTATTATATGATTTGAAATAATATCATTGCACGCAACTCATAGATTCAATCGACTATGTACCGAGGGTTATTTTTGACACGTATACATCAAATAAGGGGTGGGCTTTACCTCCGTGAGCTCCCTCCATGTGTGCAAATTGAAACCTCGTTCAGATGTGCTGCTGTGTGACCGTTTAGGTGAGGTCTTGTGTGGGTGAGCCTACAGGACGGTGAGGAAGGATGGGAGTTGGGAGATTAAAGGTTGAAAATCATCACGAAGAGATTTGCATTGGAAATTCTAGGGTTCGTTCTAGGGGGTCGATTTGGGTTTGGGAATGAATTAGGGTTCGTTCAATTGAAGGTTTTGTAAGATTTTACTCCGCTTCAAGTCGTGTTTTCTCCGTATGTGGCATGTTTTAGATGCCGTATACTGCCACGTATGATTCCGTCTTGCCAAATCAA